AATACCACAGAATAGAAAACGATTTTGCCCAACAGCACAGCCAACTTCGTGTTGCCCCTATCTTACAGCTCAGCCAGAGGTCAACTATGAGACCCTGTCTGAATCATAATCCTGGTAATCTAAAGATTCCACTAGAAAAGTAAATTCTAAAACTCCTAAGGATCTAGATTATTTCCTTAGGCCACTACAGGAAACCTGGAGACCTAGTTTCTACCATTTCAGAAGCATTTCAAACCTTTCTCAGTGGTCATGCCATTTGAAGACATATTTTGTAACTTCATAGCAGGAAATGATACTTACTTGGGCCTCTATCTCCGTATCTACTTGCCGTAACAACTACTGGGAAAGCTCTCTCTATATACCTACAAGCTCAAATCACAGCAAAACCATAAACTCCCCACTACTGCATCCATAGGCTCTCTAAAGCAAACTTACAGCCTACTGACCATAAAGCAATGTAATAAATACACATTCTTAAAGTAAAGGTACTTTTCAACAGAGGCAAGGTGTCAACTGCAAATTTGGTGTGTATTGTGTGTGCATATTTACATGAGCCAAATTTTATATATATATGGGGGTGTATACATATATATGAGCCAAAATTTATATGTGTGTGTGTGTGTATATATATGAGCAAGATCCTATCTTTATGTGTGTTTATATAAAAATAAATAAAACTAGGCTAAAAATTAAGGATGGATAATTTATTATTCTTTAAGAATGTACACACTCTTTTAAAAGGTTTTGTTCTTGAAGCAGGGAGAAACCAGGGGGAAAGGGACATGAACCCCAAAAATGGCTACTGTGCATTCAAAGTGTACCTGCAATGTTAAACAATCAGCACCTGCTTAAGGAACTCCCCGGCAGTCTAATGGTTAGGACTCCACGCTCTCACTGCCTAGGGCCCAGGTTTGAAACCTGGTCAGGGAACTAACATCCCACAAGCAGCATAGCAAGGTCAAATAAAAAAATAAACAAAAAAAACCACCTGCTTAGTGTCAGCCATACTAATCCAGTTCTCACTTGCACTATACAAACTTAAAAAGTTGAAGTGCAAGCCATAACTTTTATTGTTTTTCCTCTTCCACCAATATAATTTAGGAGTAAAAGGTATCTTCAGGAAAGAAGGTAAGTTGAATTCTATAGAAAAACTGTTGATCAAACAGCAGCAAAGGTAGATATAATTTGTACCTAGAGACAGATCTTAAAGTAAGGCGTTCTTGATAGTTCTTTACCTGATTAACCACTGCCCCTCCTAACTCCACAACAGAAAGTGCTACAAATACTTGCTTATAGAGCCTACATGCAAAAAGCGTCTGGCATAAATTTCTTAGGCCTTTTCTCAAAAGCCTCAAGCCTGATCCTCTTGAGATGACAAAGTCCAAGAGTCAAAATAAAACCAAAAGTTAAGGATGAAGACCAGAAAGGAATAGGAAGAACAAAGAATTTCCAATCACTTCTTACATGTTCATTCTACTCTTCTTAACTGGTCTGAGTTCTCAAACTCCTATGTCTCCCATGATCCATTAATGTAGCTGTTATGATAAAATATTCTTAATCTCTCCAGGCCCTTCTCATTTAGACAAGTCCTGACATAGTGGCATTTTTTTTTTTAAACTCTATGACCCAGATGAAATCTTTTTATAGTCCTTGGAAACCTTGATGCTCCATCCTAAATTCCTGCTTTGTGACCCTAATGTTAAGACACAGGAGACAAACTATGTGAATGGTCCTGTGAAAACAAGTGAGTGAAGGAAGGGAATTGCAGCAATTGGGCTCCACGAGCATCAGGCTCTTTCTCTTTCTTTCCTACAGGATTTAACAAGTAAAGCAGAAAGGAAAAGGCTGGCATACACATGGGAGGCTGCAGCAAAGAGCTACCCCAAGGCTTTTAGGAATCCTCATTATCTTTCCACTTGTTATAGGCAGTTAAGTCTGGAAAAATATCTTTGGAATATGTCTTATGTGTAGGAATGCATAAAAGATAACACCTTGCAAAAGTCAAACATACAGGTTTAATAATGTGCCACTAATGAAGATGGTTTATAAATGAAATAACAGCTACAACATTTAGTTCCCTAAATATATTATGCTATTAATCATTAAAGTTAGACCTATAAGTACAAGTTTTCCATATGTGGAAAAGTAAATCTGTTTTTAAATTAAAGAGAAATTATCACTCTCTTAAAAATAAAACGATCAGGATAAATTTCAAGTGTAGCCGCTCAGTCACTGAATAAATTTAAACTTGATAATAAAACATCTAAGTTTCAACCAATGCACCTTCGCTGAAGCACATTTAGCTGAAATAACTTCGAGTCTGGTTTATTTCCATCACATATAGTACATTTTTCCAACAAGAGCACGTACATTCAATATAGAACATTTCCAGCAAGTTACAGTCTTTCTACTTTCCTTTCACAGTATATTTTAGTGCAAAGCACTGGGAAGGGTAAATGCTTTTCTAGCTATAAAATCATTTTATTATGACCTTGTGGATCTTCAACATTTTAAAATTTTATACAAAAAGTATATAGATGGACAGGGTCCCTCCTAAGTCCACATGTGAACCTATATAAAAACACGGTATATTCTCCTGCTGTACCTTTTAAAATTATAATTTGACAAAAATTACTAAAAATTATTAAAAAATAAAGTAATTCTAAAAAGTATAAAGTACTGATACACAAAAACCTGCCCAATATTTTATTAAAGATAGATGTACTTCTGTTTTCCCTAAAATCTTGATTACAAAAATGAACAAAAATTCATTATTTTTTAAATTTTACAGTAGGAATCAAATATTATCTAAAGTGGTCATCTAAGATTTTACTTGTGAGAGGGGGGAAAAAGCAGGGTTTACACCCCAATCTTCCTTTTTTAGCAATATTTAAAAGAAATAAACTAATATTGTAAGAAGTGGTTGTGCAGGGATTGTCTGCATCCATAAAATTTCAGTAAGCTATTTACTGCCTTCATATTAACACCAGTAAATGTGCGGTCTTTTAAAGAAAAAAAAACTGAAAATTTAAGTTGCATCTATCATTAAAGTGCTTTGAATGAAATTTAAAGAAATTTAGGGGAATGTTTAATTTTCATAAAAACCTCAGATGTTTACAAATGAACAATGTGATGATCCATGGGTGAAAATGAACTGCAACTTTCCTGTAGTATAAATTTTGAAATGAAACTTTCAAACATTTAAGTGCTGTAGAACAAGTTAAAAATAAATGAATGTAAAAATAATTACAAATACTTAGCAGGCTAAATATTTATAATGTGCTGATATTAAATTATCTTTTGGTCCTAACATACACTCAAGGAAATTATGTATCTGTACAATCCAGATAAAAATTCTGCCAAATGAAGGGGAACAAAACTAAAATTGCTAAGATAAAGTCTTTGTTAATTAAAAATCACCAGTGGTGATATTTTCTTCAGGTTGTTGATCACTTTAATCAACAAACTGTTGGATAACAAAATTTGCACCATTTGTGTAGAAAATGTAGACCAAATGCACAAGGGTGGTTAGTTGATGGATTGTGATGACAGTACTTAATGTCACAGCTACTTGAAAGTGCTGGAAGCGGCAGTGCCTTAGAAACAAGTGGTTAGATGGTTATTATTTTAGTCAGAAAACAGCAGTTACAGTCATATATTTATCCAAATTTTTTCTTTTTTCCTCATAGTACCATTTGAAGATGTTTAGTGGTTCTAACACCAATTTAAAGTCTTTCCACAAAAATGAACTTCAAACCTTTTCGTACATCACTTGAAGTTATCTGAGGAGAAATGGGAATAAATGAACACTTTTGAGTTTACCAATAAAACCTTATTTTTAGAACTATACAATAACTCTTCTAAAGGATGATTTCATCTCAAGTTTTCCACACGAAAAAAATGTGTGATAGTCAAACCACAACATTTAACCTACTCAGCACTCAAAACTAAGTATACTGCTTTAGAACCTGAACCCAAAACTAATTTAATAATACTAATTAAATATATTAAATGCCCTAATATGAGGGACACAGGTACTGAAGGTAAACTTTAAAAATACAGGGAGATTTGCAAAAAAAAGTACAGGGAGTCTAAGCTTTATTTTATATTGCATTTTAAAAATCTAATTTGTTCCAAAACCCTCTAAAAAAGTAATATTATTTTCTTTCTTCCTAATAGGGATTTTACTTTTCAACACACAACCATAAAAAAAAGAAAAAAACCTACTTAATAATATTAACTATGTTGAAATGATCACCAAAAGTTTATTTAAACAAAAAGGTAAAAATAAAGAGGATCTGGGACCTAAACAATCACTTTCCATAGATCAAAACTAAAACACAGTAACTAACACATACTTCCAAGGAAAAGGAAAAATAATCCAAACTTTTGTTTATCGAGTTTTTCCCCTTTGCCTGGAAGCACTATGTTAAACGTAAATAATAAATGCTAACTGTTCTAAATTCAATTTGGGGGTTTTATTTTTTCTGAGTGCAGCACTTTATTTAGCCGTCACAGATTAATTTTTACAATAATTACAGTGCCTCAAAAGACGTTTTTCCTAGAATTATCGTCTTCACAAATTCATTCTAATATACTTAACTTTCCCACAATGTATTAATTAGTAGACTAAGTCACTGAATCAAATTAAACCTGTGCAAAGTTAGTTAAACAGAAGACTTCTATTGTAAACATAAGCCAATATTAATGTATGTATTTTACAACATTGAGAGGAAATCACTGACCCTGTGCCATCTATCTATAACTATATTGCATTGTCCTGTGGAAGATTAAGTTCTGAAGTTAACTTTTGTTCCCAAGCCATTGGAATAAAGGTCACTGAAGAGGTAAATGCAATATGCACATTACCTTGCAGTTCCCACTGCCATAAGATATATGGAAGCAAACGTGTTAAAATGGAACCAGCTATAAATTATGGTCAAATGATTTTTTTAGTTCGATGGGGGGAAATAAAGCAAAACTCTGTAACTGTTCCTCACCAGACAAGAGCCTTAGATCTTGTACTTCGGCCTTTGGTTTTGTTTCCTTCAGGTGAATTGGAAGCATTTGCCTTATGAGTTTTCTTATGATGTTCAAGATAAGTCTTTTTGGCAAATGCCTTTCCACATTTATTGCATCTGTGAAGAGAAAAGTTTTTTGTGACTTTTACTTCAATACCAACATCAGCTACTTCATACTTTTTACTAGGAGAGTTAGAAGTGCCATCATGTTTTGAATCACTATGTTTTGCTTCGTCTCTCGAAGGGCCTCTTTTTGTCACTTTATTTAGAACAAAATCAATGGGCTTTTTTATAGCTCTGATCTCTAAACTGGCTGTTATTTTCCCAAGATAACGGGATGACTTTTTATGAACCACAGTTATATGTCGTATCACATCACGCTTCCGACGGGTTTCATAAGTGCAAAGAGGACACTTGTAGAATTTAACATAAATGTTATTCCCATCTGTGTGCAATTCAATGTGTTTAGTCAAGTTCTGTTTCGAAGTAAACTGACGTTTACAAAGTTTACAGTAAAGTTGCTTAAAATCAAAGCCAGCTGAAAGTTTTGGTTTCCTGGTTTTTTGCTGGCCACCTGCAGCAGACAGACTAGTTGATTTAGGGCTTTCAGAGTCTTGTTTAACTTTATTTTTCTGTGCTGCCGGTGTGTTCTTTTTTTCATTTGAATGATTTGTTCCCTTTAATTCATTCTGTGGAGAATGGGTAATGGAAGGGGGTGAAGATTCTACAGAATCTGCTGGTTCAACTTTAACTTTTATTTCTGAACTGCTGGCAGTATTATTGGGGCCTTTCTCTCTTTTAGAGTTTGTTCCAGAAAGAGTTATCTTGTGGACAATTTGCATATGTCTTTTAAGCATTATTTGTGAACTATATTTCCTCTTGCAAAGAAGGCATTTGCATGCAGTTAAATTGTATTCAGCCTTTGAAGACGACTTTTGTTTTCGAGTCTTAAAAGATTTTTTAGGAGAAACAGAATCCAGGAACAAAGGTTGCCCAGGCTTTGTTGCTATATCAGGAGTAATTGAATCCCTCCTTAGTCCTCTATGAACTTCATCAAAATGCCTCCTTACATTCGCTTTTGTAGCAAATGATTTACAACATACTGGACAACTCCTACTTAATGGAACTAGAACATTCTTACTGCGTCCTTTAGAGGACTGGTTTGGATTCTTTCGTGTTTCAATGTACTTTTTTAGTTCTTCCATCTTTTTCTTGTGTACTTTTCGAATGTGACGACGAACACCTCGTCTGGAATTGAAATCTTTTCTACAAAGACAACATATCAACTGGTGACCAAAATCAGAATTGTCAGAAGTTTCCAAGTCAGCCTGTGATTCCTGCGGTTGTTCATCAGATGGAGGTGCAACATCATCTGCGACAATTTCAACAGGAGGGGGCTCTACAGTTTCCACCTCTGTGTCTGTAGCTGGAACTGTTTTATTAGACTGTTCAGTGCTAGTTTCCTGTATTTGAACTTCAGGCTGTTCAGGAGTACTGCTTGACTCTGTGACTTCAGTGGGATTATCAGTCCTTGAAATATATTGAAACACTGCATTTTGATTAGTTTCTATAGGTTCTAGCTTAATAATGTATTCTCGCTTGTCCACACTTGGATATATGGCTTCTAGGAGGTCGTTTATGGCTTGGCTTTGTTTATCATTTACATCAGGAAGGTCTGTTAAGGAAAAAACAACATTTTAATCTGAAATAATTAGCCTGCTCTAGTCCTCTAATTATTTTTAAATGTATTATTAACCTGTCTTAAAATTTATTATTAATTTGTATTTATTTTTACAAGAGTATTATCTACTTCTCAGTATTTTATGAGGCTGAAAAACTAGTACTGATTAATTTAAAATTTGCTTTAATTTAAAATCTCATCATGGTACACAAATGTTAAGGAATAGATACAATCTGAAGAGCTACTTCTAATATAAGGGCCCTTAATATAAAATATTTAAGCAGATGGGTATCCCAAACAATAAAAATAATACTTCATATTTTTAGGCTAGCAAAGGAAAGTCAAAAGTTCTCATAACCCAAGATGGATAAAATACCATGAAGTATGTTAGTATAAAAATCATTTTTTTAAAGAAAACATAACAGCATTCCAATTAACTTAATCCATAATAATCTAATCTAATTGTATGGGGACATTTGAACATTTTATGGAGAAAGAAAAAGAAAAAGATTTTATAGGAAAACACAGAAACACAAATGATGATGTATAAAAGTGTCTGCTAAATTCAGTCTTACCATGGCACAACTCTATTAAACCAATGATTAAAAACTACAAATTAATTTCAAAAACAGACCTAGTTTTATTTTCTTGTGCAATATAATTACTCTGTCTGTAGGCAACCTAACAGTCATATTGTAACAGAGTTGACTAACACTGGTTATGTTCCTACATACAATCCTAAAATTTAGCTACAAATACAGCATCAAATCTGATAACCACTTAGAAATCAAGAAATGACTTATCATAGCTCTTCTAATCTACTAATCTTTCTTTTTAAAATGGATAAAGTAGAGTCTGTAAGAAGAATACTTTCACACAAGTATTTCTACAATAAGTATTACAGAAGAGTATACAGTAATCCAGCAAATCCATTTATCTATTTCCCTCTAAAATTCAACTAACTTTAGTTCACACCAAAAACTAACACAGAATAACTACCAGAAAGTTAATTAAATTCCTACTAGTTCCTTAATTGCAAGGTTAGATTTGAAACTAATTTCTAGACTGCCTTTTCATTCACATCTCAAGGATAAAAGAAGTATAGTAAGATATAACAGGGGAAGGAAAAATTTCAAGACAAATATGAAATTTTTGTTTCATCTATTTCCTATTATATACTTCAAATCACTTCACGCTAATAATTAAAGTGGTACTTTTGCTATTTGGAGTTTTACACTCTATTCCCATCCACAAAAGATTAAGTTGAAAAATGCACAAAATCCACAATACAACTGAAATATCAAACTGATAAAAATAACTTCTATATTTTGTTAAGTCCACAAGAGTTAAATCCCTGAACAAAAAACAATGAAAGTAATCTATGACTTACTAAAATATTTTAAGGAATTTATGTTAGGTCTTTAAAGCAAGAAAATATCATTACATACACTGCAACTTAATCATACACAGACAATATACTTAACTCAACAAACATTTGGTTACACAAAAACTTCATTAGCTTATTACCTGCCTTTATTACATAAAGCTGTTTCAGATTAGCTTGCAACACAATCCAATTTCTGGTAAAATGACATATCAAGTAAATTTCACTGAGAATAAAACTGATCTTCAAATCAAGAACCAGGAAACATTAGAAAGATTATCAAATATTTTTTAATGCTCTCCACAATTCCCCAAAAATCAATTTATTTACTCATTCTTTGCTCTATTTTCAACCTTCTCATTTACTTAAGGAGAATCTAAGTAAATAATGAGTCATATATGGTAACAAGCTGCTAAGAAGTAAAAATACAAACACCCCCGTCAAGTATCAATATTTTAATTTACAAAAATCCTGAATATAAACTGTATAGGCCACATAAACATTCAAAAATAATATCCAATATTTTAATACAAACAAACATGGCAAAAATCTAACTTCATTTATCTTTAGCAAAATCCAAATGACAGATATTAAAAAACAGATATTATCTCTTTAAGAAATCAAATATATTACATTGAGTTAAGTATTTTATTTTGTTCTCCATCACTAAGTCATCTGTAACTAGATACTGATACCATTCTAATGTGAATGTGCAGCTATAGTATAAGAACACACAGTAAATGAACATATGAATAAAACTTACTGTCATCCATCTGCAGACTTGGTGGGCAGTAGAATTTTTTATGGGTAATTAAATTTGGCAATCCTCTGAAGAGACTGCGGCATAATTTACATTCAAAAATAGTGTCCACATCTTTTAATAAAATATGCTTAAGTTGTTTAGTTCCTGAGGGAAAAAATAAAACACAAAGGAAACTTTAACATACTTTTAAACTGGAAAATCACTGCTGACAATCCAGAAGTGTGGTTTTACTCTTTAAAAACAAAATGCAGGCACTGCCAGTATCTACCACACTATACTCAAAAATAAGTTATAAACTACATTCTAAGCAAAATTTTATCACTTGGATGTTGCTGCTGCTGCTGCTAAGTCGCGTCAGTCGTGTCCGACTCTGTGCGACCCCACAGACGACAGCCCACCAGGCTCCCCCATCCCTGGGATTCTCCAGGCAAGAACACTGAAGCAGGCTGCCATTTCCTTCTCCAATGAATGAAAGTGAAAAGAGAAAGTGAAGTTGCTCAGTCATGTCTGACTCTTAGCGACCCCATGGACTGCAGCCTACCAGGCTCCTCCGTCCATGGGATTTTCCAGGCAAGAGTACTGGAGAGGGTTGCCATTGCCTTCTCCCACTTGGATGTTAGGACACCTGAAACTGATGGTCTTTTTCTAATTCAGCAGCCAATCAACTCCTGGGATATCTTGGCAATGGTTCTAGTATCTGCTTGATCATCACAATGACCTAGTAATAAAAACGTACATGACCCACTCCTGGAGATTCTGATGCAACAAGACCTGGAGTGGTACAGAAGAATTAAATGCCACCTCAACCCAAGTTTTTGGCTGGTTCTTCCAGCTCTCTTTTGTACTACAAAGTAAACATGAAGTAACACATTTCCCCCTGATTGCTTAAAGAGGGTCAAAACTGTCTCACAAGATTATCTGTGCCTTTCTTTTTAAATTCAGCTCAAACTACTTGCGGTTCTGGGCCAACATGGGATCATCATCATTTAGTGGACAATAAAGAATCCTTGGTCCATGTTTTTGAACTTTGCTTAGGTCTCTTAATACTACTAGAAATTTATTCAAAGCCTTTGTCCCTAAAATACTCACCCTAATTGCAATTAATTAAATATTGACAGAACTACTAGTTTAAAGCCTGTCTTCCACTAGACTATAAATTCCAAAGTGGCCAAGACCAAGCCTGTCTTATTTACAAAGTTCTCAGGTCTAACAGGAGAAGGCAATGGCACCCCACTCCAGTACTCTTGCCTGGAAAATCCTGTGGATGGAGGAGCCTGGTAGGCTGCAGTCCATGGGGTCGCTAACAGTTGGACATGACTAAGTGACTTCTTTCACTTTTCACTTTAACTCACTGGAGAAGGAAATGGCAACCCACTCCAGTGTTCTTGCCTGGAGAATCCCAGGGACAGGGGAGCCTGGTGTGACATCTATGGGGTCGCACAGAGTCGGACACGACTGAAGGGACTTAGCAGCAGCAGCTCTAATAACACTGAATAAATATTCACTGAAGAAAAGCCACCTATCTACAGAATATAAGCATTATGATGGAAGATCAAAAGGCAGGCAGAAAATAAACAGCAACAAGCACTCCTGAAGTATTTAAAATAAAACACAAATAGAACCTCTTTTGTCACTACTTCCTACTGGTCTCTGACACAGGCAAATGGACAAAATTGATCTGTGTTCACTAATTAGTGAGCCTTCAGTTTCTTAAAAATAATAATAATATTGAATTAAATAGGGAAAAAACAAAAGTGTCCTGAAAAATACCCTGAAGACTATCCAGGGGCACAGTGACTATTAAGCTTTGGGACTACTAGAGAATAAACACAGTCTCAGTAGGATAATTAATACCGTAGGATCCATAGAAGTTAAGCATTTCTGATTCAATCTTTGTGATTTATTTACCTTTAATTTTTAATTTTTATCATGTTGCATTTTATCATCATTTTGAAGACATTAGCCTTCAAATTTCTATTGCAAAAAGACTACCACATTATCATAATTTTACTAAGTCTTTAGAGATTCCAATTCTGATATCATCTAGCTGTGTGGCCTTAAAGAGTTATATAATCTTTGCACTTTGGTTTATTCATCTTATAAAACAAACCAAACCTATCTCAGAGAATATGAAAGAAAATATGAACCTAAATTCCAGAAGAATTAAATCATAAATCCAGATTTCTACTGAGAAGAAAATATATATATAATGAAATAATTTCTACCACTTCCCAAATCCAATTCAAAGTTTATTCCACAGGATCATACTACCACAAAACAAGAAAACATTTATTTTAAAAGATTCAGAGGAAAACTTGGGTATTATTCATTGTGTAAAAGTAAGTTCACACACACACACTTCTCTACTCTATTTCACATTACAAAATATATTGGCAATAAATTGCTAATATATTTAGTTCATAGTTAACCTCATAAGTGATTGACAAACTATGAGAGGTAGGCTGATGATAAACTTGAGATAAACACTTTAGATAAACTTCTATAACTGATCTACATATAATTCTTAGTAAGTATAGGTGGGTGTATTACCAGACAGAAGAAAACATGGGAAAATTTTGCGTATTTTAATCCTAAATTTAAAAACCAGCTAGACCCATACTACAAATTCAATTCTGCCTTTAAAGATACTAAACTGTTTAAAAGGATTGAAGGAAACAGAAATAATCTGAACTAGGTTTAGCTATGACTAGAAAGTACAACATGAAGTTATACATAAAAAACGTTATTTATAAAAACTTAAGGCTGCATCCCTAAATCAGGTATCATCTACCAGGTTATCTCAACCAACCATAACAAGAAAAAAAAGTATTTGACTCTAACCTTGACTAATTAATCTTAATTATCAAATCACAAAAAATACTCTACCACCCTCACACCACTTATGCACATACAAACACAGTTGTGTTGAACCAAGCAAACCAAATTTCTTTCAGGTCCTTCGATTCACCAAATTCTCTCACTTTTCAGACCTTCTCCTATGTTTCTTTCTCTCTGCCTATAACATTCTCCCCATTTCCCTGGTCTGGTCCACTTCTAACAGTCCTTCAGATTCCATGTTAGATGTCATTTCCTCCAGGAAGCCTTCTAAGACCCCTCCTGTTCTCTGTTAAGAATTCTTCCTCTATATTCCCAGAGTACCCTGTACACCTATACTATATTATCTGTTTTGTGATTACTTTTATCTCCATTAAACTGGAAACTCTAAGAGGACAGAGACGGTATCTTTGATGGTCACCACTGTGTTCACAGCTTTCAGGACCATGCCTGATGGGCATTTGTTAGACATACTGGTGAGTTCTCTCTATGTTTAAGAAAATCTTCCCTATAAATTTTTTTTAAAGTCCATATAAAGTTAACCAGAAAGTAAAAAATGGGACCTGAGTGATTTTCCAATTCTGCTTATATGTATTACAAATGAGAAAAATAAGATGTGCCCTCACTCCATAAACATAGGCAAAAGTTATTCCTTAAGTTGGTTTCAGTTACCATTTAAGGTTTTGTTGGTTTCCCTTGGAGACATAATGGCTGTATTCTAATCAGCTACCATTTTCTGATTGCTTTGCTCACTAACAGTTTGACACAGCCAACCAACTGTGCCTCTGCCAATAGTTAAAACCTACTCTAACCTGAAAAAAGAGACAAGACAGCAACAAAAGTTCACCCAAACAGCAACAAAAACTCCTCCACAACTCTTAATCCTGAGAGAAAGAGAGCTATGCAGCCTTACTCCTAATTATTCCTTCTCCTATAGATAACTCTCTTCCTCACCTTAGGTTTTTAAATCATCTTAGAAGTCACTACATACTACTTACACCATTTACATAGATCATCAATTCAGTATCTTTCGAAAAACCAGCCCTCCAAAGAGAAGGCTTTTGACACCTGTAACTAATGAACATTTCAGATCCTCACACATAATGGGCGCTCAATAAAATTTAGTTAAACCTCATTGAAGGTTTGATCCTGTGCTATCAATTAAAGTAAAATACACTGTATATACTGATATAAAGTTTAAACGGATCAGTATTCAATTTCACATTAGGTTGCATGTCAGATGCTTGACATAACATATTAATTCTAACTCTTCTGTGCTAAGAGACAATCCTCTGAAGACACTGCGACATAGTTTACATTCAAAAATAGTGTCTACATCTTTTAATAAAACATGCTTAAGTTGTTTAGTTAGGACAAAGTGAAAGTGAAGTCACTAAGTCCAGTCTAACTCTTTGTGACCCCATGGACTGTAGCCTACCAGGTTCCTCTGTCCATGGGAATTTCCAGGCAAGAGTACTGGAGTGGGTTGCCATTTCCTTCTCCAAGTTATCTCCCCAACCCAGGGATCGAACCCGGGTGTCCCACACTGCAGGCAGATGTTTTCCCATCAGAGCCAGCCCATCAGGGAAGCCCAAATAAAGAGAAGCTTTCCTTTTCTCCCTTAATATACTGATATGTTGGTCAATGACCCTTTTAAGTTGCAGCAATAACGGTTTTTGAATAGTACACTGTATGCTTTATTGTTGATTCACACATGAACTCAGTTTCTTTAGGATGATTGTTGAACCACAGTATCATTCCCAACATTGCAAGCAAATCTATAATTCCTGTCACACCCGCTGAATTTCAAGACCAGTATAAAGGGAATTTCTAACTGATCATCCATCCTTAATATAAGAAAACTTCAAAACTGTTCCTTTAAAACCACTACCTACAAGGGTTGGTTAAAAAATTACTAATTATGAATACTGCAACATTCTACAATAAATTTATAAGCAGAAAGAAATTATTTTAGTGCCTATCTGGTGAAACATTTGTTTAGTCTAACACACATTTACTGAACATCTATTAAATACCAGGGATAATGTTATTCATTGAAGACATGAAAGTGAAGGTTATGATCTATGCCCTTGAGAAATTCCCAAACCAACATGAATGGCTGCTCTAAGAACACAGCCTCAGGTGAGATGCTTTGAAGATGAACGTAATAACAAATAAAATAAAGCTACATTTTTCTTATCTATCCCCAAAATATGCAATCTGATTTTAAATTTCCTACAACTGCTATGTATCAACTAAAAGCAAAAAAAAAAAAAACTCTATCATATGATACAGCAGATATGTACCTCTAAGTCATACTTTCGTCCCAAGCTTTTGCTTACAGAATCAGGACTAAGGCATCACCATCCAGTCACAGTTTACATTAACTGAAAGAAATGTCACTTTAGCAGTAAAAAACAAAATCTCTAAGAAACTAAAGACCAAACTTAAATTTAGTTAGATAATGACAATAGCAAACATCACACAAAGCCAATTCTCACTTTTCACTGCAATTTATTCCTCCCTAAGATTCAAAAAGTCACTGTCCCTTGCACATCGTAGTAGTGTATTCTATAGGTAGTAGATTTTTCTATAATACAGTTGACCTTTGAAGGAATGCAGGATTTAGGGATGCCAACTCTCCATGCAGTCAAAAATCCACACATAACTTACAGTCCTCCTTATACTCCCTTTCTTCATATCCTCAGTTCTGCATCCCAGGATTCAATCCAATCAACCAAGGATCATCTGGTACTATTTACTACCGAAAAAAATCCACAAAAAGTGGACCTATGGGGTTCACACCCATGCTGTTCAAGTCAACTGTATAATGTTGTAAAAAGATATATATTTCAAAAACTCAGAAAAAAAATGCCAACTTCACATTAAGGGCCAGTTTTGAATACTGGACAAAACAATTATCCTCCCCGTTTCCCATTTTTCTGTCTCTAACCTTAGGGCATACCACAGCTTCTTTGCCTCTACCAGAAGACTATGAGACTAAGAAAGAATATTAATCTCAATTAAATCAACTTTTATATATGTCACAGAAATACATCTTTTTGTTATTTAAAATTTTGTTTCAGTTTGGGTGGAAAGGATGGGAAAAAAAGGAAGCTAAAATAAAAGTTAACGGAGGGAGGAATGGATTTGGAGTTTGGGACTAGCAGATACAAACTATTATATATAGAATGGATAAACAAGATCCTATTGTATAGCACAGGGAATTATATTCAATATCCTATAATAAATCAAACTGAAAAGGAATATGATAAAGAATGAATATATATATATACACATATATATAACTGAATCACTTTGCTGTATACCAGACACTAACACAACAATGTAAATCAACTATATTTCAACTTCAATTTTTTCTAAAAAATTTAATAGAAAGGAGGGAAACTTGGAAGACAAAAAGTCACCGACATGATCTTAGAAGGACTGACAGACTACAGAAAAGTTCAAGCAAAGGGCAGGGCACAGTTTAGGTAGTACCTGAAGCCAGGATTCAGAGCAGCCTGTCTCAAGTCACCCAAGCATCAGAGATTTCAGAGAGAAAAGCTCTAGGTAGGTGTAAAACAGGCAGCCTTCTAAAAAATATGAGATATTTATATATGGACAGATGTCAAACAACAGTAGAATGTACTGTTTAAAGCCAAAGATACCTAAATACCCAGTCAGCTACCATTTGTATCAGGAAGAAAGTTAAGGGATATATGCTCATATATGGGTAGAGGGTCTCTGGAAGAAGATACAAACCATGTATTAGTACTATCTGAGCAAAGACACTTATTTCTGTATTTCCTTTTATACCTCTGTATTATTATTATTTTTAAGCCACAGGTATATATTATGTAGGATTTCCCAGGTGGCTCAGTTGGTAGAATCTGCCTGCAGTGTAGGAGAGACTGGTTCGATTCCTGGGTGGGAAGATCCCCTGAAAAAGGAAATGGCAACCCATTCCAGTATTCTTGCCTGGGAAATTCTACGCACAGAGCCTGGGGGGCTCTAGTCCATAGGGGTGCAAAGAGTCGGACATGACTGAAGCCACTTAGCATACACACATACATATATTTCCTATTCCAAAAAGAAAAGTCTATTCAGATTACTTTTTAAGTCAAGCAGATAAAAATAGAGATTAGAAGTCATGAAGTATTTGTAATTTAAAGCCAGGGAAATAGTCCAAAGCAAAAGTTGAAGTAGGAAACAAAGAAAATGAGTCAAAACTAGTCAAGCAGTCAATACAACCAGTCAGTACAGTACACATGAGCCTGGTGGACCTAAAAAAGTTAAGTCAATTCCTTCCTCAGCCTTTTATGAACTTCCAGCTTAGGCAGGAATTAACACCAGGTCATAGAGAGCCCGTATAGGCCATAAACCCCTTAAACAGAGCTGATACAGGAGCTGATAGTTGACAACTATCTGAGCTTGAAGATAAAGAGATATCCTAACACATCATTACTGCACAACCTGGCTGAGCTTCTGAATGTTAACAAGAGCAAAAGTATGACTTCAAAGTTCTATCTTCAAATACCTGTCAGATATAAAACACCACTATAGCTCTTTAAATGAAATGTGTGTGACCAAGCCACAATGGAAACAGCCTAGAAAGAGATTAGTCACTGAGGGACTGCTTGGGAGAAACTTACAAGTCTCAGAATGAGAAGGTATCTTAGATCCTGTCATGTGGTCCAAACTTCCATCTCATCCTCCCAAGGTTTCAGTCAGCAGAGGCTTAAATACCTCTGTGCTAAAGAAGAGCTACCTTAGGAGACTTGAGATTATCCAGATATGTAAGAGATTACTGTCCTCAGGAAATCAGAATTACTTAGCTATGAGATACACTAGTGAAGTAAAACAGTTCTTTTTAAATTCAAAATTAGTTTCTTTGTACCATTTAGCGTATTTCTAAACCATCTCTAATTCAAATGATTGAATACTTAGAATTTATAGTATTTTCAAAATTTGTTAAAAAAAAAAAAGCTCAGAAAGCAAATTTGTCAGAGACATTTTAGAAAGAGCACATAATCCATTTCACAGTCCCTTCCTTAATCTTAGTAAAGAAATGGCAAACACAGAAAACCAGTACAACCACAGTGCAGTAAGAAAACAAATAATTTCATTTTTAAATATTCACCTTTCAAGGTAAAAGAAATATATAGATTTTGGTATAGGATCTTGTTGAAAAGGAATTTTTTTCCAAGATAAAGCACAAATAAATGAAACAATTCTTAACTTCTTAATCAAATAACATGGTAATAAACTCAAATAGTAAAATTTCAAATTGCAAATTTTTAAAAAAGAAACCTAAGGCAAAGAATATAACTGTGAAGTTATTATCTTCATTTCCATGATATGAGAAAGAACAACAAGAATTACCTCTGTACTAAAAGTAGCTAACAGAAACTCTTACTGCAATTAAGAACTAACCATTAATGGCACTGAAACATGTAAATTATCATATGTGAAACAAATCACCAGTCCAGGTTCAATGCATGATACAGGATGCTCGGGGCTGGTGCACTGGGATGGCCCAGAGGGATGGGATGGGGAGGGAGGTGGGAGAGGGGTTCAGGAGGGGGAACACATGTACACCCATGGCAGATTCAAGTCAATGTATGGAAAAACCAATACAATGTTGTAAAGTAAAATAAATTAATTTTAAAAAAAACTAACCATTTTTCTGTTAAGCCAGAAACATACTTAAATGTTGCCTCTAATTAGTAAAATTTTAACTGTATTTACCACAGGAGGATTTGACCTATTATTTTCATTAAACAAGGGCAATTATCAAAAGTAAAAAGCAATTAAAAAAACACAATAAAATATGTTATACCACCATCCAGCATGAGCACAGGTATTTGTTATGGCAGACATGAAATACTGATTTAAATACATAAAAGCAACGCCATGACGATTATAGATGAAAAGTGTTAAGAAATGAATCTCAGAGTCAGAAATTAACTTAAATGAACAATCTACTTTTTAGAATCCTAAAATAAATCAAATGTATACTATTTCCTTTTTAAATGATTTAAAAACAAGCACCTTAAAAAATTTCTCATCAATACAAGTGGCTTCATATAAATTCTCTGAATCTCAGAATTTTTTCATTAAGATACAGTAACCTTTAAAATAATAACAAAAGGTATTCTAATCCTTAAACTTAGGATGTCCATCACTTAGGTGTCCATCAGCCATGTGCATTTGCTAGTTCATACTTGATTTAATACCCTACAATGTCAAAGAAGCCAAATCCACAAGTGGTGGACAAGCAGATATAAGAATCACAACAACCTAAGACTTTACTGATAGGACTTCTAATAGTTCTCAACCACTTCTACTTAGTGAGCAATACCTATTTTAGAGCGCTGGATTGTAACTGCACAAATATACTTAGTATATATCTATTATTATAGTAATATAATGGAAAGAAAAGCTAAAGAAATATATCTGAAGATATCAGGGCTAGAATAAGTCTTTTTTCTATCACATGATCTACTAAAGATAGTGAAACTCCAGGGTTAGGTAGGAGATGGTGAGTCACATAAACAGAGATGATAAAGTAATTAATCTAGAACAAGAGACATCTCAGACATTCCAAGTAAATAATCTATCCTGCCAAAGCTCATAAAGACCTTGTATAATTTAGTACTGTCTTCTGAGAGTTTATAAAGAACATGCCAAAAAATAACAATGAATCTTTAAGAGACACTTTACCAGCAAATATACCACATATTTCTTTAAATCATTCTAAACACTTTTTACATCAGTATATAATATAGTACTGAAAAAGAATTTCTAATCAAGCAATATTTACTCATCCCCTTTTTTAAAAAGACAATTAAAAGTATATTATAAAGAAAATCAATGCATATATTTCATTTTTAAAAAATTATTTCTAAGGATTACTAGGTAATTTTAAGGTACTACGTGAAGGTTGAAAATACATCCTAAAACATTCATACCTGATCGAAAGCATTCAATTATTTGCTGAATACCAGACTTGGATGTCTGCAGTGGTTGCTGTAACAAAGGAGCATCTCCAGGTTCCAGGATATAAACTACATGGAAGACAAATACCCACCCCAATCCCCACAAAAAAGGGTTATTTAAATCATTTACTATTGAAGTAAAACAATGGTTTGCTATAATCATGTTAAATGACAATCACACTTTTTTGTATGTATTTCACCATTAGCTTTTTAAGGAAAAATAAAATAATGGTAAACATATAACTGCAATTTTTCTCAATTCAAGGTAAAACTAAGGCTGCTGAGGCTATGCATTAAGTTCAACTGCAAAGATCTTACTATTTTGGTGTTATTTAGTACATATTAGTCATATTTGCCTTTTTATTCCCCTTGAAGAGGAACTACTACATTTAACCAAATTCTAGGGCAATGAATAGCCTAGCCACCCCTCATGAACCATTCCAAAACTCTCCAGACAATCTAGTACGGCTCTCTGGCAATTATGAGAGCAAAACTCAAAAACCACTGCCTAAGGAAAGAACTGGTCAAGTGCACAATGACAGATGTACAAGAATGTTCACTGCAGCAATCTGCAGCACTGTAGATAATTGAGAAAAATTTCAAACAACTTAGAAGTCTCTCAAAAAGAACCAGACTAAATAAACTATGAAATATCCATACAACAGAATCTCTCCCAGCTGTTACACAGCATGAGCTAGACCTACATGTACTGACAACAAAGGATGTCAATAATACATTGTTAAGCAACACAAGCAGGTTATAAAATACGATCTCAATTATACTAATATATATTTCAATAGCCACAGAAATAAATTTAATGTATATGTGTGTCTACGTATAAATGCTAATAAAAACACAAAAGTCTGGTGAGACAGTAGGATACCAACAAAACTTAACAAAGGTTCTTTCTGTTGGGTCGGGTTTATAGAGGTGATTTTCACTTTCTGCCTCACACTTCACTAGCCCAGGCTTTTGGAAGTATGCATTTTAGGAAGAATGCATTTCTAACAGATTCCCATTGTAAATATACAGAGGTCTACATCATCCCTGCTTGCCAAGACTTCCAGATTATTAGTATAAATATATAATAAATAAGGTTATGGTAATAAGAAACAAGGTAACTGAAAAGGAAAACTGAGTTTTCCATTAGACATCAGGTAAAGAGAGTTGTGGTGGAGAAAAAGCAGTCATTTTAATCACCTCTTTTTTCAGTACGTTTTAATGTTGTACCATCATCTGCTCAGTGAGAGAAGATAAGGAGGGCTACTTCAGGAATGGGTGCTACACTGCTTCAGGACCTGGGCCCGGAAAGCTCTGAACTGTCTGATAAGGGGGATAAAGCCTGCTGTGCTATGTGTATAGACACAGCCTTAGATTCTCTTCTAGGCTTCAACTCTTAAGTTCAGTGTACACAAATAGGAAAAACTGTGTCTCAGGAACAAATCATTCCATTAAGCAAAATTTTCCCAATTTTAAGAGACACTTTGGGGGTATTTTTAAAAACATACACACAAATACAACTCATTTTGAGAACATCTGACATTGGCACTAACTGCAGTGGTTAAGAAAAGATTCCAGACCTGGACTGACTGTGCTGAAATTCTTTTTTTGCCATTTACTAGATACAGCTAGTGCAAATTATACTCTCGTGATTTCCCTATTCTCATCTCCAAAATGTGAATATTAAAAGTACCTCAATCATAGAGTTGTGTGAGGATTATATTAGCTAACGCAGGTTCCTGGTTAAATCAAAGCCTAGAATACAGTAAAGACTCAGTAAATGTTCTATCACCATTATTATCACCTATAAGTAAACTGCTTTCCCGACACCAAAAAATGAAAAATCTTTCCCAAAATCTAGGTAGAATTCAACCCCTTAGAGAAACAGCAGCAAACGTTTGTAAATAGAGTGATGATATCATTTATTTGGATTAGATGGATCTCTTTCTAGTATTTGTACATTCTGACAACCAATAACTGATTACAAAAACTAATAAAAGATAGGGTGGAAATTATACAATTTTTAAAAGTCCCAAGGTCTGACTCTCCAACTGGCAAGAATTCTGTAAAGCAAGAATGAAAAATGAGTAATAAATAAGGGAGAAATATGAGAAAAAAATGGAAACTTCTCTTCAGCACCCCCTTTCCTCATTTAGGTACATTCTCCAGAAACCTTCCACTAATTTCCACGTCCACATGACAACATCATTTTAAAGCTAGAGCAAAATTTTGTTACCCATCACCATCACTGGTACCACCAGAATACACACACATCCTGAGACACCATTCAAATAACCCCAGGGTTAGTTTTGTTATGAGTGGACACATCCACCTTGTATACACATCTGTGTAGGTCCCATTTCTTTCTTCATTTGAAAACATAGTCTCAATCCTAAAAAACTGTGTATGTCAATATTTTATAAAATTTCTTTTTGCACATCCTATCATTCAACCAAAGATCAGGTCACATGACCTTTAACGGTAAAAAATGCACCTCCCTCGAGCCAAAAACCCCAAAGTCTCAGAGGTTAACATCTTTCGTTACATCCTTCCAAGAACATACTTCCCAGAATACCTACTTCTGTTAAGAATCTCTCCTCCATTAAAACAAGCCTCTTACGATATTCTTCAACCTAAGATGTCTGAGATTTGCTTACAAATAATAGTGAGTGGGGGGCAGTTGGAGGATAGAGAAGGGAACTGTGGTGAAGGGAGAATACAGATCAAAAGCGACTGTCCACATACTCACATACTGATAACTGACAGAGTTGTGTGTTGGTTACGTAAGGTTCCTATACGATCCTACCTTTGAATGTTTCAAAATTTCTCTAAGAAAAAAACTTTCTTAAAGCATAGCTAATATACTTTACATACACTGATAGGCTTATAACACCACCACTCACTAAATTGATCCCGCCTATCAAGCCCTCCCCAGGAACACACTGCTCTCTCTCATTCAGGAACTCACCTACTATTCATAATTCAAAAGGAGGATAGACCTCTCAGCAGAGTTCATTAAAAGAACTTCTCAAACATAACGTCATCTTCTTCCCTCCATCTGAGGGCATCCTCTTTTTAAAACTACCATTCCTATTCCTCTCAATATGGGAAACATCCTCTCACTTGGTCCATTATCTTCCATCTTCCTGTGAAATAATGACAATTAACTACCTCATAAGTTACACTTCTACCTTTCCAATGAACTAAACCCTCAGAAAGTGTTTACTTCTAACTAAGAAAGCAAAGAAATACCAACTACTTTTGACCTAACAGTCTGAAAAATAAACTGCATCAGAAAAGTTTCTGGCAAAATAAAGTTGAATTTTTAAAATTAAAGCAATTTATCTGACTTTGTGTTAATGAGGGAGGAAAACAAGCAGAAAAGTTTCAACACAAATTTAAAAGTTCATCTCTGGAAAATATCTTTAAAGTATCTAGAAAACTTTATCAGAATACACTAAATAAGGTATGGTCACAAATTATCTTATCTGTGTACTTATTTACATCCATCTCTTTCCACTCAAAGGTTCCATGAAGGAGTGAGCTTATCTGTTGTGTTCACCACTCATATCCCCATTGCCTTGAACAGTGCCTAAGCACCTAACTGGTGCTCAAGTCAGCACCTAACTGGTGCTCAATAAAGACTTGTCAAAGAAATAAATGAATGACAAAATACATTTCTTCCTAAGTGGCAAGCTTTAATATGATTTAATTAACTAATTCAACTTAAATGACTTCTCAGAAAAAAATGGAATAAAAAGACAGTGGAAAAGAAGTCTAAGAAGTCATTCACAGTTTTCTACTTCAAAACTAGCAAAATCCATTCAACAACTGGTACAACATAAGGGATATATATTCACTTCAAATACACAAAAGGTCCAGCAGAAAGGATGATGAAAGGTAGGCAAACCAGGGAGTAACTGAATGAACACTGGATTCCATTCTGGGATTGCCTGTTTTATTAACAGAGGTTATTATTTGCAGCAAATTAGTGGGGATAGGGTCATAGAACAAATTTTATTCTAACATGTACCAAAGTTTCCAGAGAATAGAAGTTCTTCCCTTTTAACACCACCACCATTTTCCCCATTCATCAAAAAGTACTCCAAATGAACTCCACTGTGAAAAACCAAGTACACTGGGTGTGGTTAAAATACTCCAACAAGAAACAAGCAAAAGTACTAAAAAGTCCTGGAATTTTTACATCAAAAATAATGCTAAGCAACTGCCTTTGAACTTAACAGAATAGCCTTTAGTTGGTTTAGTGACAGTGTGTATTCAAGGATTCTCTTTTAAGCTGTACCTCTAAACGTTTTAACAATGCAGAAACTTCCAATAAGCAGAAAAACTATCAATAGTTTATATATCACATTTTACTAAAGTGTTCTAATACTCCTTGTGAGACTCAAAAAAACAGCTTTTTAGTCTCATAAAGTCAACTAAAAAATATCCCTCTGAACAATATCCTAAAAATATTTATCTTAATCAGATTTTGCAATCCTGTGTTCTGTCCAAGATCTTTAAGAGGTCGCACTTAATACCTGATTCTCCCAACAAGTTGACTTCGACAAACTTTCCTTAACCCAAACTAAACTCATTCTTAGGTTTAAGCATTATTCTCTCTTTCAACACTATTTAAGCAGAAGAAATTTCTAGTTTTTAAAAGTTTAAATGAAACAGCTTTCATAAAAATGAAGTATTCTAATACTACCTATTTTTTCCTTTCTCTTCAGTTTTAACCATTCACAGAGCATGAGGGTATACTACTAACAACAGGCTGCCTTGAAATGGAAGGAAAAGGGATTGAGTAATTGATCTTGTGGAAAAGATTTAAGGTGACACCTGCAGTACTTTTTTGAAGGGATCAAGCAAGGGAGACCTCTTGTTTGTACAAGCTTTTAGCTTCATAACTGGTTTTATGCTGGGGAAAATTATAGCCTGCTTAGTTAGGAATGACTTCTTGGGCAGGAAGAAAAGAAAACAGAGAGCAGAGTGGCTCTGATGGAGACCAAAGAAACTGGAGAAGAAAGGGGTATACCTGGTTCACAGCATCCGTGATGATGGTGGTCAGTCTGACAGTATTTGTCCCTTAAAGGCATTTTCAGTGGGCGCGACCTACTTTCCTTTCACTGTAAGAAGCTCTTCATTGCGGCTTGGCTGTTGAAAGAAGCACAAACCCGTCACTCACCATGAACTTCCTGGGGGGGCTCTCGCTGCATTTTCCAGAAACGTTCCCTTCACCCACCCTCCACTTCCCCTCCAGCGCCCTGTACCTTCCTCTCCAACCGAAAGATAAAAACGCACGAAGCCTTCACCAGCCCGAACTCCCGCACAGGTTCACCGCCCTACCCGGAAACGCAGCCCCGGGCGCGCAGCACAGGGCGAGGGCCTGGCCGGCTGCGCGGGCGGCGGCGGCGGCCTCGCCTTCCCGGGCGGGCGCGCGCGGAGATGGAGGCGCGGAGCGCAGCGGGCACGGCCAGCGCCAGGGCCCGCGGGGCGAGGGGCGCGGCGGCAGCCGAGGGGTAGCTCCCGCCGGCGGCCGGCCCACACCGGCCCTCCCGCTACACACGTGCGCTGGGGTCTCCCAGGCAGAGCCCCGGTCCCCCCAACCAAGTGCGCCCAACTTACTGAACTCCTGGGGCGGGCCGGCGGGCGGGCGGAAGGAAGGAAAGCAGGCCGGGCGGCCGCGGGGACAGCCTGGCGTGGGAGGCGGCTTCGGGCCCCACCTGGCGCAGCCTCGGCGGACCGCGCGAAGGGACCGGGGTTCGGGCCCGACGCGCTCCCAAAGAGTCCCCGCCGGCGCTGACGCGGAAGCGCCGCAGCTCACCACGTCCCTCCGCGGCCCGAGACGACGCGGCGGCTCACGGCGTCCCTCCGCGCTGTGGAACTGGGCGGGCGGGCGGCGCGCGAGCGCAGGCAGTTGACAGGAGGAACCGCCCCGCAGCCGCTGCTGCCGCCACCGAAAAAGCTGGAACCGGAGCGGGCAGGACTTGAGGCGCCCCTCGCCCGGGCAACGGCTGCCGCCGGAGCCCGGCTCCCCCCAGCGTCGCTCCACCTGCAACGGTCCTCAGGCTTTTGGAGAGGGGCGGGGAAGGATGGGGGTTTCCCCCCACCTTGGGCCCTTTTTGGTAGTAGTTGTTTCAGGAAACTTTATTAAGTCAGTCTCTCTCTTTCTCGGTCTCCCCCTCCCCGAAGAGCCTGAGCTACCGCCGCGGAGCGAGTAGGAAGGGGGAAGCAGAGACTCTCCGGCAGCGACAGGGAGCGAGTGACTGACCCCGGACGGAGATGGGGCGAGGGCAGGAAGTGACAAGCTCTCGGAGTGGGTGGGGGGAGTGTGGCCGGCACGCCCGGGAGCGTCGCGCGCATGCGCCCGGCCCGCGCCCCCGCCGGTGGGGAGACGCCGCGCGGCGGCTGGGCAGAGAGAGGGAAACCGAGCGGGTGCGCGCGGCCGACAGTCGGGTGTCTTCGCCCGGCGGCTCTCTCAAGCGTCCCCGGCGGACGGGGAGCCGAAGTCTTGGGCTTCGCGGGCCTAGAGGTGCAAGGCCACTGGTGCAGTGGTTGGGCCCGGGAGACGGGCTGCTGGGCAACCAAACTGTTGCTGTCGCTTTTCTTCTTTCGGTGGAACCGAAACCGGGAGGCTTGGAAAAGCACGGGAGAGAACTGTAGGAAGAGGCTTGGCAAATGCGTAAGCCGTAAATCGTGGTGATTCCGAAAAAGTTGTCAGCGCATTTATAAAGGGTACAAGTGGAACTTTTTTTTTTTCCCTAACCCAGCAATTACCGAAGTGTGACTCTCAGAGCAATCAGGTCTTTGGGAGGAAAACAGTCTAGTCCGTGGAGGATCGGTATTGATCGCAGCTGCGCTCGGCGTCTGGCATCTGAAGGTGAAGTTGGATCACGTGGGCAGTACGCACTTTTTCTTCTCTTCGGCGCTCATCCTGCTTGGAAAACCCCCCCAGGATCGCAGTAGACTGTCAAATTCTGCAACCCCGTGTGCTGGTGCTCGGGGGATGGGAGATCCTTCTCCGCGGCTCCAGAAGCAAAAATGAAAATTTTAAGAAAGAAAAAGTCCATTAAAAAGATCTCCACCCGCCCTCCCCCACGATCCACTGAAAACCTTCATGGTTAAGATACCGGTTTTCGGATCCGTGAAAAGGTTTAGTAGACAGGCTCTGTATGTATTTTGGAAGAACAAACGAGTGACTGAAATTTATTTTCAAAATTCAGAGTTTGTATTAGGTCCAGTAATAAATGTGTTACTGTAAATGCACTGAATGGAGCATTGGCGTAGGTCTGAGTGATTTTAGCAGCTTAATTATAGGGGTAACAGGAAAATAATACAAAAATGATCTTTTTAAAAAGGAATTCCATCTGCTGTTTATTCTGCACACTTAACTGGTTACCTTAGTATGTTTGATCATTTTTATCTGTCCCGTTGTCAAGAAGCAACACAAAACAAACTAAAATGAAATGAATCTAGGTGGTGGTGGGGGCGGTCCAAGAGGGGATATGTGGGCACGTATATATATATATATACATACACATATAGTTGATTGACTTTGTTATATGGCAGAAGCTAACACAACGTTATTCAGCTATTATCCCAATTAAAAATGAAATGCCACAATTTCTAAAATAAAATAAGCTGCATCCACATGATAGTGTTTGTCATACAACTAATAAAATATTTTTCTAATATTTTCATGCTAAGTCTCTTCAGTCCTGTCCAGTTCTTTGCAATCCAAGGGACTGTATCCCGCAAGGCTCCTCTGTCCCTGGGATTCTATAGGCAAGAATACTGGAGTGGGTTGCCATGCCCTCCTCCAGCGGATCTTCCTGACCCAGGGAGGGAATCTGCATCTCCGGCAGCTCTGGCACTGCAGGCGATTCTTTACCACTGAGCCACAGAGAAATATGCTTACGTAAAACAATAGAAAAAATTTTTTAAATGTGACCCTTAACAGTGGAATTTTGATTTTATTTAACACTAGAGATCTTTGGTAAAATTTAAGGTGAAATATTTTAACTTTTGGGAGATCTACTTTAATAAGCAAATTTATCATGGTCTTAAAAATGAATACACAATTTAAAATTTTCAAAAACATGAGGCTTACTTCAGATATGTGAAAGTTACAAATGCTTGCTGACCAGATGTGAATTAAAGATGTTTATATTTCAAAGTGATCATCACTAGAGAGTCCTCAAAATTGTTTGCTAATAGAATAAGTTTTAAATATTCTGAAATATTAGAATTATAGACAAAATTGGAATGTGCATATGAGTAAAACAAATATTGAACACCCTGAATCATAGAATTTTAAAGATGAAGCCATGGAAATTATCTAGTAACATTCCTGACTTTATAGATACAAAACTGAAACCCAGAGAGGTTAACTGGTTTTCTGAAGGTCACATAGTAACAGAACAGTCTAGAACCTAGATCATTCCCTTTATAAAATAACAATATTATTATCTGACATGTTTTGAGTAATTAATGTTTTAGGCTCAGGCATGAAGTCATTTATATCAACAATCCAATGAGATTTTGTTATCCTCCATTCTTCAGGGGGAGAAACAGGCACAGAATAGTTCTGTTCAGTTGCTCAGTGATGTTGGACTCTTTTTGACTCCATGGACTGCAGCATGCCAGGCTTCCCTGTCCATCACCAACTCCCGGAGTTTACTCGAACGCATGTCCATCGAGTGGATGATGCTATCCAACCACCTCATCCTCTGTCATCCCTTTCTCCTCCCACTTTCAATCTTTCCCAACATCAGGCTCTTTTCAAATGAGTCACTTCTTCACACTGAATCAGGTGGTCAAAGGATTGGAGTTTCAGCTTCAGCATCAGTCCTTCCAATGAATATTATTCAGGACTGATTTCCTTTAGGATGGACTGGTTGGATCTCCTTGCAGTCCAAAGGACTCTTAAGAGTCTTCTCCAACACCACAGTTCAAAAGCATCAATTCTTCAGCATTCAGCCTTCTTTGTGGTCCAACTCTCACATCCATACATGACCACTGGAAAAACCATAGCCTTGACTAGACAGACCTTTGTTGGCAAAGTAATGTCTGCTTTATTTTTTTTTTCATTTATTTTTATTAGTTGGAGGCTAATTACAATACTGTAGTGCTTTTGCCATACATTGACATGAATGAGCCATGGATTTACATGTGTTCCCCCATCCCGATCCCCACTCCCACCTCCCTCCCCATCCCATCCCTCTGGGTCTTCCCAGTGCACCAGCCCTGAGCACTTGTCTCATGCATCCAACCTGGACTGGCGATCTGTTTCACCCTTGATAGTATACTTGTTTCAATGCTGTTCTCTCAGAACATCCCACCCTCACCTTCTCCCATAGAGTCCAAAAGTCTGTTCTGTGCGTCTGTGTCTCTTTTTCTATCTTGCATATAGGGTTATGGTTACCATCTTTTTAAATTCCATATATATGCATTAGTATACTGTATTGGCCTTTATCTTTCTGGCTTACTTCACTCTGTATAATGGGCTCCAGTTTCATCCATCTCATTAGAACTGATTCAAATGAATTCTTTTTAATGGCTGAGTAATATTCCATTGTGTATATGTACCATAGCTTCCTTATCTATTCATCTGCTGATGGGCATCTAGGTTGCTTCCATGTCCTGGCAATTGTAAACAGAGCTGCGATGAACATTGGGGTGCACGTGTCTCTTTCAGATCTAGTTTCCTTGGTGTGCCTGCCCAGGAGTGGGATTGCTGGGTCATGTGGCAGTTCTATTTCCAATTTTTAAAGGAATCTCCACACTGTTCTCCGTAGTGGCTGTACTAGTTTGCATTCCCACCAACAGTGTAAGAGGGTTCCCTTTTCTCCACACCCTCTCCAGCATTTATTGCTTGTAGACTTTTGGATAGCAGCCATCCTGACTGGCTTGTAATGGTACCTCATTGTGGTTTTGATTGTCTCTCTGCTTTCTAATATGCTGTCTAGTTTGGTCATAGCTTTTCTTTTAAGGAGCAAGCATCTTTTAATTTCATGACTGCGGTCACCATCTGCAGTGATTTTGGAGCCCCAAAAAATTAAGTCTGTCACTGTTTCCATTGTTTCCCCATCTATTTGCCCCACCAGATGCCGTGATCTTAGTTTTCTGAATATTGAGCTTAAGCCAAGTTTCTCACTCTCCTCTTTCACTTTCATCAAGAGGCTCTTTAGTTCTCCTTCACTCTCTGCCACAAGTGTGGTATCATCTGTATATCTGAGGTTTTTGATATTTCTCCCAGCAATCTTGATTCCAGCTTGTGCTTTATCCAGCCCAGCATTTCATACTCTGCATATAAGTTAAATAAGCAGGGTGACAATATACAGCCTTGACATACTCCTTTCCCAATTTTGGAACCAGTCTGTTGTTCCATGTCCAGTTCAAACTGTTGCTTCTTGACCTGCATACAGATTTCTCAGGAGGCAAGTCAGGTGGTCTGGTATTCCCATCTCTTGAAGAATTTTCCACAGTTTATTGTGATCCACACAGTCAAAGGCTTTGGCATAGTCAATAAAGCAGAAGTAGATGTTTTTCTGATACATTCTTGGTTTTCTCATGATCCAATGGATGTTGGCAATTTGATCCCTGGTTCCTCTACCTTTTCTAAATCCGGCTTGAACATCTGGAAGTTCATGGTTCACATACTGTTGAAGCCTGGCTTGGAGGATTTTGAAGATTACTTTGCTAGCATGTGAAATGAGTGCAATTGTGCGGTAGTTTCAACATTCTTTGGCATTGCCTTTCTTTGGGACTGGAATGAAAACTTTTCCTTTTCCAGAATGGTTAGATAACTCATCAGCTGAACCAGCATTCTAACCCAAAGGGTGTGGCTCTGAAACTCATGACCTTAGCCATTGTGTTCTATTGGCTATATTGTGTTGCCTACACTGTACTCTAGCTGTTTTGGATCACATCATATGTGAAAGATGAGCGAATAGATGCTGTCATTTGTGAGAGGTATTAAAATGCCATGTGTAAGCTCATGAAGTGGGAATGGAATTGCTAGAATCACAAGAATTTAATTGAATTTCACAAAAAGCCTTTGAACATCAACTAGAATTTCACCCTACCTCTAAAAACACTATGCACAAACCATCATAGAAAAATCATTTGTCTCCCTTTCATTGTTCACTGCAGCAACCTAGGTGACACATCATTACAGCTTTAAGGAACTTTTTGATACTTAAAGTCTGGAAGTGCATATTTAATGATTAACATATCACCTTCAAGGCTGGAGAATACACACACACATATATACATACACAAGGCTGGAGAATACACACACACACACACACACACACACCCCTATATACATACACAAGGCTGGAGAATACACACACACACACACACCTATATACATACACAAGGCTGGAGAATACACACGCACACACATACACACACACACGCATGCATGCATATACACATATATTATTGCAGCATAGCAAACCACCCTAGAATCAGTGCCCTAAAGTCATTTTAGTCTAGCCTTGTCTGGGATCATCACATAGCTGCTACAGGCATCTGGCATCTTGACTGGGTGCTCTCATGGCTGGCAGCTGGTGTTGACTATTGGCTGGACCTCTCTCTCCCCTTATAGACTTTCATCCTCAATATCATTCTGGGCTTTTTCATATCATGGCAGCATG